AGGTTAATATTAGCAAGTAGGGTGAGGTCAGAGTTGAGGGTTTACTGTTGTTTTTAATATAATTATCCAGGTTCCCCAGAAATCCTAGTTAAAAAGTTTATTTTTCCCACTGAGTTACCTTGTTCAACAGCTTTATTTATAGATTTCTATTCTTTTGATAATTGATTTTAAGACACTGTTATTATAGTGCTATAGTAAAACCTCAAATTAGGTAGTATAACTCTTCCAACTTTGATGTTGATTTTCTGTCAGCTATTCTTAAGCATTTCAATTTCCATAAGAATTTTAGAATCATCTTCTTAATATCTAAAAAAAAGTACTGCTAAAGTTTTTATTTAAATTGCACCAAATCTATAGATATATTTTGGRAAAATTGATAATCTCAAGTCTTCTGACTAGTGAACATGAGATATGGCTCCACTAATTTAATTCTTTGATTTCTTTTATCAATATTTTATACTTTTCAGTATATAGGCCATGTACATTTTGGTCTATGTATTTTATATTTTCATGTTATAAATGGAAATGTTAGTTACTTCTTGCTAGTGCACAAAAATATAATTGCCTTAGTGCATTGACTTTCTATACTGCAAATTTGCTAAATTATTATTTGTTCCTATAGCTTTTTTTGTAGATTCTTTAGATAATCATGTCATCTCTGAATAAACACAACTGGCTTCATGTTTTTTGGTGTGGATAGATATACTTCTTTTTCTTGTCTTATTGCCTTGGTTGGATTTCCAGTACAATGTAGAATAGAGATGATGAGAGTGGAATCCTTCSGTGTTCCTTATCTTAAAGAGAAAACAGTATGCCTTTTACCATGAAATGTGTTTTTAGCTGTAGATTCTTCTGTAGAATGCCCTTTGTTAAGTTGTGAAAATTCCTTTCTATGTTGAATTTTCTAGGAGTTTTTGGCATATTTCTTGTTGGATTAGGTCATTTTTCTTTGTTGTTATATTACTATAGCAAATTGCATTGATACTCTAATGTGTCAATTAAAAATCAACATTCTAATAACATTGTAATTATATATATATATATATATAATTTTTTATATTATTGGATTTGATTCAAAAACATTTTGATGGGAATTTTTGCATCTATGTATGTAAGGGATATTTGTCTGTAGTTTTTCTTCCCTTTAATGTCTTTTTTTTCTGGGTTTAGTATCAGGATAGCACTGTTTTCATAGAGTGAGTTGAGAAGTTCCCTCACCCTGTCAATTTTCTAGAAGAGTTTGTGTAGGACTTGGTATAAATATTCCTTAAATGTTTCATAAAATTCTCCAGTGAAGTCATTTGAGCCTGGTGTTTTCTTTGTGAGAAGAATTTTAAATACAATTTTATAGTAGTTATGGGTCTATTCATATATTCATTTTACCAATATATGTGAGTAAGCTTTATAGTTTGCTTCTTTCAATAAGTGTGTTGATTGCATTTAAGTCAATGACATTTTTTGACATAAAGTTATTATATCATGGTTATGTATATAGGACTGTTACACTGCATCCTCTTTTATTTCTGACATTGGCCATGGTACCTTTCATTTTTTTCTTGATCAATGTAGCAGTAGGTTTATCAATTTTATTGGTATTTTCAATGAACCAGCGATTGACTTAATTGATTCTTAATTATTTATTGATTTCTGATCTTGTCCTATTTTCTCATGGTAATATTTCTTGCTCAGGAATATTATTTTCAATGGCAATATTCCTTGATCAAAATCTACTATGAATATAGCCACTCCAACTTTGTTTAATTAATTCTTCTATAGGACATTCTTTCCCATCTTTTTACTTCTAACTTATTTATTTATATGAAGCCAGTTTCTTTTAGGCAACATACAATTGGTAGTCTAATATCTCTGTCTTTTTAATTGGTATGTGTACATCATTTACATTTGATGTGGTTATTCATTTGGTTGGGTTTAAATCTACCATCTTGATATTTGTTTTCTGTTTGCCTATTATTCCTTTCTTCTCTCTTTTTCTGCTTTCCTTTGGATAGAGTATTTTTGTTATTACATTATTATGGTTTTAGTTTTAGGTTTTTTTTCTGGTTACTTTAGATAAAATATATATTATTTTCTTCTTCCAATCTGCTTTCAAGTGATTTATACTCCCTCTATTCCTTCTCATCCCTGTCTTCTGACCTCTGTTCTAGACATCATATATTTTTATATATACTATAACCCCCAATTTGTTGTTGTTGTTGTTATTATTATTTTTACTTTAAACTGTCAATTATCTTTTGGGGGGGAGGGTACCAGGGATTCAATCCAGGAACAGCCCTTTTTTGTATTTATTTAGAWACAGGCTCTCACTGAGTTGCTTAGTAACTTGCTTTTGCTGAGGCTGGCTTTAAATTCACAATCCTCCTGCTTCAGCCTCCTCCAGAGCGGCTGGGGTTACAGGTGTGTGTCACCATGCCCAGCTTGTCAATTACCTTTTAAAGAGCCTTGGAAAAAGAAGCAAAAGTTTTAATGTATGTTTCCATAATTTATTCTCAGTGCTCTTCACTACTCTTTGTTTATCCAGATACTAATCTGGTTTTATTTCTCTTATGTCTAAAGAACTCCCTTTAACATTGCTTGTACTGCAGGTCTGCTGGTTGTGAATTATTTTGGCTTTTGTATATCTGACAAAGCCTTTATTTTACCTTCATTTTTTAAAAAATATCRTTTTAGTTATAGATGAACATAATCTTTATTTATTTTTATGTGGGGCTTTATTTTTTATATGGATCTAACCCAGTGCCTCAATGTGAGGGACAAGGGCTCTACCATTGAGCTACAGCCCCAGCCCCTTTACCTTCATTTTAAAGAGATTTCCTGAATAGAGAATTCTAGAATGACAGTTTCCCCCAAATCCCAGTCTGTAATGCTGTTGTTCTATTGCCTTCCAGTTTGCATTGTTTCTAACAAGATGTCCATTGTTATTCTTATCTTTGCTTCTTTATACTGAATATATTTTTACACTAATTACTTTTAAGATCTTCTCTATCACTGGCTTGAAAATTTTTATTACTCTTTGTTTTATTGTTGTTGTTTGTATTTATTGTTCTTTGGGTGTGTTGGGCTTCTTAGATCTCCGAATTTGTAGTTTTCATTGAATTTTGGGGAAAAAAATTCCACCATAATTAAAAAAAATATTTTCTTTGTTTTCTCTCTTTTTCTAGGATTATAATTACACTTATATTAGGCCATTTCAAATTGTATCACAGCTGACTGATTTTCCATTTTTTATTCATTCTTTTTTGTTTTTAATTTTCATTAGTTTCTCTTATTAACTCTTCAAGTTCATTAATCTTATTGTCTTAGCCATACATTATAAGAAATTTGATTTCTTTTCATTTAATAAATTACATTTAAACAAAATTTGAAACTTTTGCACATTTATTGCTATGGTAAGATGATTGCTTTCCACTTATTTTACTTTTCATGTTATGCTTTATCTTGATGACATAAAATACAATTGCAATTTTCGTTAACTTAGTTAGATATTTATATTTGGTTCCTCCCTTTAATTGTGTTTTAGYTTTTTKTTKTTGTTGTTGTTGTTGTTGTTAGTACAATCATTTTTGTTCCTTTGGTCATGGACCCTAGTACACATAGTGCTTTGATTTTAGACTTATCAATATTACCAAAAGATTTGAAGCTATGCCTTGGTAGTAGAAAAGATTTCTCCAGGCACAGGAGAAGTCATAGTATTATGCTTTTCTGGAAGAGCCAGACTTGAGGAAACTTTGGTAGATTGCTGAATATGTGTTTGTTTTGGGGGGTTTAACAGTTGCTTGCAAAGTGTCCCTATCATTCTCTATGGGGGACAGGCAAGGTTCACCAGAATATATTATTCATATTGGTAGTATCCTTGAAAGGAAAGAAATCCAAGAGAAAGGTAAATTTCAGGGACAAAGGAGTTGCTTGGTCAACTGCATTTCCTAACTATAAGAGAAATATTTTATTTTAGAAATAAACTTTGGAGAAACACTGTTTTATTTGTGTGTGCAAGGAAGGAATTTTTCAGACAAAGCTATCTTTTCCTTCCCTACCTGCTCACCAACATATTCTCCATCTTGTCATGAAGCCTTGGTTTCTAATAGTTAGCAACTAATGACTAAAGACTAATTGAAAGAAAACTTAAGGATTTATTCATTCACATGAGCACCTTTAAGGACTAAGCACTATTCTGTGCTTTGGAATTAATACTTCAGATAGAGGGAGCTCTGTTGCAAACTGACATCCTGTCCTGTGCTTTTAAACTGTAGAACTGTGCCTGTAGTTTTTTTTTTTTTTTTTTTTTGTGTGTGTGTGTGTGTGTGTTGGGGGGAAGTTCTGGGTATTGAACTCAGTGGCACTTGACCACTGAGTAACATCCCCAGCACTGAGTTGCTTAGTGCCTGGCTTTTGCTGAGGCTGACTTTGAACCCTCCATCCTCCTGTCTCAGCCTCCTGAGCCACTGGGATTACAGGTGTGTGCCACCATGCCCAACCTATGTCTATAGATTTTTATAACAATATATATGTCTCCTCCCTTAGCCTAATATGTTTTTTATGTGTTATTCAAAGTTAAAATTTAAGATGGTTGTTTTGGGAAAGTTTTAGCTATATATCCCAAGGTCAATTATCAACTTAGAATCTGAAAAACAATGATTACATATCATTGAGAAAAATCTATAAAGTATATATTTATTTGTCTATGAGTTTAAAGCCATTTTGAAATGACCATAAGACACATGTGCAAGTTGTGCTACCACAGTTTTTAAAACTAGACTTGGTTTACAAGATGTGCAATTTATATATTCCCAAACCAACATAATAATTATTTGTAAGTTGTATGATCCTAATGTTTCTAAGTGAGTCTAGTATTTAATTATTTCTACTTTATTCCAGAAAAGATTTAGAGGAGGGCTACAATGAGTAGATTTTATAAAAGTGTCCTCTAAGAAAGCACTATGTGAGATCTTTATTTTCTAATTACATTGATATTTAACTTTTAGACAAAAAGAAGATGATTACCTTCAGATCATCACAGATATCCAGAACTGTCCTTGGAAACGACAAGCAGAAGAATATGAAAATTTCAGGTAAAAGATTTTTTTATAAATAATATGAGTGAAAAAAATGTTCATTTGCTTTGTAGAAAAATAGGCAACAAGTTATTAAAGCAAACAGTAGAAAGGGCCACCTGGTAATCAGGAGGATCAAATTCTAAGGCCCTCTTGTGAGGCACATGGCGTTTCTATCCACACTGCTTACTTAAAAGTTTTTCATTTTGATAGACACTGGAATTAATTCCAAAAAAAATGCAAGTCCTAAAAGAAGTTTTTATTAATGCTTTTATTATATTTTAGAAGATGATACTTCTATGTGCCCTTTTTTGGTGTTTATTTTATAAATAAAATATAATGGTATTAAGGAATGTTCGACAAAAGTACAGMAAAGAAAATCATCCATGATCCCTTTAATTTAGAACAAAAGCTGTTTTGCTTTGTGCATATTCTCCTCCAGTTTTTTATTAGCTTTTTAACACAAGTGACATTTAGGAGCATGAATTGCTGTATGTTGTATCTTACAGAGGAACCATCAACTGCAAAACTAGCTTACCACTTTGCCATTAAAGAGCTATCATTCATGCTTGGAGAATTTGTAGTTGCACCCAGATAAAAATGCCATTTGTGAAAGCGATATGCTGTTGGGGTGCACGGATATTTATTTTTGTTACCCTTTCTTCCCCAAACCATACCTAGCACAGAGCAGATCAGTTGTCTGTGCTAGCCAGGTGTAAATTATTCTGGATTGTATTTTGTTTTTCTGGTTCTCTTCTATGCATSCCACTCAGGTTTTGATCTGTGCTAAATTATTTTGTTATATTACAAGCCAGAGACTCATCTTTATCTTCACTTTWTCACATTTTCAAGTTTAATTTAAGCAGTAAGCCTTAAAAGTCTTATTACTGGGACTTTGCTTTCTCTTAAAATTTTCTTAGGAAATATCTGCTGCCTACCTCTCTTCTAGAAAAGGCAGCGACTCTTCTGTTTCCTTGTGCCCCCTCAGATGAACGGCCTCTGATTTCCCTGAGAATATAAGAGGGGTTCTGGTCAGCCCCTTTTGGGTTGAAGAGTAGCTTCCTGATTGGCTTGATATCTTCCCTCCACTGTATTAGACAAATGGATGTCGTGACTTCCTGTAGGATTGATTCCATAAGCATCTTACCTGTCATTTCAGGGTGAGAGGCTAGAACAGAGATTCCTATTAAACTCTTTCACCTCCAGGATACCTTAGGTTACACAGACCTATTCAAGACTGGCTTCAATGTCCTGAAGAGGATCCAGAGAGACCTGATAGAAAGCTGTGCTGACAATCATAACCCAAATAATCACGGCAACAAGAGTGGCAGCAGAATCTGATTTTCAGAGACCTTTTCTCACATCTAAATGGGCAAGAAATGATGAGGGAATTATTGAGCTATTGAGGTTCAATTATTGAGCTATTGAGGTTCAATAGCTCGATTATTAAATAATTAACTAGAAAACTAGATGAGTAGTGATGGCAATAATGAAAGCAGGGGTAAAGAAGCTGCTACTTCTGGCCAGTGGCAGACAACTGTAATCCCAGTGACTCAGGAGACTGAGGCAGGAGGATCATGAATTTGGAGCTAGCCTCAGCAAAAGCAAGGTGTTAAGCAACATAGTGAGACCCTGTCTCTAAATAAAATATAAAATAGGGCTGGGGATGTGGCTCAGTGGTTGAGAGCCTAGAGTTCAATCTCTAGAACCAATAAATAAATAAATAAATAAATAAATAAATAAATAAATAAATAAAAAGAAGCTTCTATTTCTGGCTGTCAAGTTGGTTCAGACCAAGCGTCAAGAGGGTAGTGCAAACAAAACAAAGAGCACCAGATACCTGTTTAAGGGCGTTAGAAAACTACTGGACCAGGGGGAATTTACAGGACTAAGAGCCAGAGGAAGATGGAATCCAAAGGAGCTGAGTGGCATTTGGGGCTGCTTTTTCTCAGAAGGGACTTGCTGAATGTAAAATGACGAGAGCTTGAGAAGCTGAGCAGAGCTTCCAGAAATCCCTGGAAAAGACCAGCTCTTCAAAGAACTGAAGCCTGAATTGAAATCATTTCCATCCTCAGCTGGATTTAGGAGATCTGCCCTTAGCCTAGATAACAAATAGAAGCAAAAGTAAATCCTCTCTGGAAGAAGGTAATATTATTCAGAGCTTTAAATTATCTCTGCAAGTTTTCTCACACAATGTCTGGCTCAATTAAAATTTTTAAAAATATTTTTTTCCTTTTAAAGATTTAAAGGTTTCTTTTTTCTTTCTTCCCTTCCATTTTTTTTTCTTTTGAAACAAAAATTGGCAGTCACTTTAAATCCCAAACTGCATGAGCATCCTTGCTGCAAATTATGATAGATTGCAGCCACGTGATTGATGGTACATTTTCTCCTTAGTACCATCTCAGTATAAAAAGTGCATCAGTAACCATGACAATTACCAAATGGTCTATCTACCCCTTCAGGGACAATTTAAGTAAACATCTGAGACTATACCACTTATGGTGTGTTGTCATTCGAGAAAACACGTTATGGTGACATTTACTTATTTACTTGAGTATATATTACATTATAATGTTTACATTATGGACATATTTTTAAGCTGAATTGTATAAACCCTCAAAAGAAATCTGTGAAATCAAATCTCAATAAACCATCCTGTCTTAATTTTTGCTTAACATAGTTGCCCAAATCTGAGTCTCTACCTATTTATAAAACCAGCATTGTAGAAACATCCCCTATTATTATAGATGTCAAGTAGCTAAATAGTTTTCCATTTTATTTATTTATAGCATTTTATGTCAAATTGAAGGAAAGCAAAATGTGCCTTAAAAAGGCAATAATATTCTTGTAGCATCCATTACAAAAGTTATATTAAATTCTGAAGAATATGAGTGAGAGAATATATTCTAAATCCATCTGCAACACAATTGTTGAAACTTCCTATAATTGATACCCAAAGACTCTGAAAATCATGAGACTCCTATGGTCAAGGGATCTAAAAATAAGAAAGCTTGAAAGTCATTTTTCTCAAATAAGTATGCTACTTGCCAGCAAATGGGGGCAAAATTTATTCATCAAGCAAATATTTGTTGAGCGTTTTCTATATCAAGCACTCTAGACCCCTTTAGTATTGATAAAATGTTGGGTACAAATCATGGCCTCAAGAAATAGTTGTTAAATAACTGGATACATGAAAGTAAACAAGGAAAACAGAAGGTTTCTTTACTGACCTCAAATAATTTATAGTCAGATTGGAAAAAAAAAGAATACAAATATGTATGATTTAATGTAAAAATGAATGCTTTATGATGTATACTATGATATATCAGTGTAAGCTCTCATTTCTGGAAACATTTTGTAAAAAGAGAACTATAAGTTTGAGGAGGGACAGCAAGGGAGAGAGAGACCAATTTAGAAATGATAGGGCCAGGAAGAGTGGCCAGTTAGTTTCAAGGCCAGCTTGGGTGAGTACAAATTTGTTCTACGGGGTGCTTGTAGATAGATGGGGGATGGCCTGGTGATGCCTGGAGCTTTGATTATCAGAATAAAATCCACAGGCCTTCTGTAGATAACAGGAACCCAGGAGAGATACTCCTACTAAGGAAACTGCATGACAAATTTATTGTTTCAGGGGAAATATTGGGTCACATAACATTGTGTGGACTGGAGTGTGAGTGGGTTGGAGGAGTCAGAGCAGTTAGGGGCTGGTTGCAGAAAAGTGATCATAGGAAAACAAGTCTGGAACATCAGTAGTAGCTCTGAAACTATCAAGGAAGAGCCACATGACGATGACCCCTGGGGATGGATTGTGTTATTTGTCTTGTATTTCCTGTGCCCATCACATAGGCAGTACCCAACCAATAGCTGCCAGACTGGGTTACTTACTGACTTTTAGTTCTCTAACTGAAGGAGAAGAAATTAAAGTGAGGTCTGGTGATATAGTTCAGTTGGTAGAGTACTTGCCTCGCATGCACAAGGCCCTGGGTTTAATCCCCAGCACCACACACGGAAAAATAAGTAAATGAAGTCAAATGGGAAGTTTGGGATCTGGTTGATTGGTATAATCACAGTGTTACAAACAGAAAGATTTCAAGGGGTAAATGCTTTGGGGAAGATGAGCCCATTCTGGATAGGGTATATCTGAGCTGAGTTGAAGCAACTGGGTATAGAAGACCTTGCCTTGGTCTGGGGAAAACATGAATGCTAAGCAAAGAATTACAATTTAAAACTGACTTATGTACAAATATGGCCACTGAACTCTATCTTATCAGCAAGTTTCTTTTGTGCCAAAGGAGCTCCTCTTCATTTCATAGATTCCTGAGTTCATTCAGTACTTACCTAGTAGTGTGCCTGAGAACTTTGAAGCCTGGTTGCATTTCTACCTTCTTACCTGGTTGCCTTTACCTGAATCATGGGAGGTTTAAATGAAAGTCTTTTGGCTTTTGGTCCTGGGGATTGAACCTAGGGGTGTTTAACCTCTAAGCCAATTCTCAGCCCTGCCCCCCGCCCAACCCTTTTTAAATTTTTGAGACAGAGTCTCACTAAGTTGCTTAGAGCCTCTCTAAATTGCTGAYGCTGGCGTTGAACTTGCAGTCCTCCTGCCTTAGCCTCCTGAGTTGCTGGGATTTTATAGATATGCCCAACATACCCAGCAAAAGGTTCTTAATCCAAARTCCATATTAGCAGTTTTATAAAGCCTTCAAAATTGTGTGAGAAATTTTGAACATGTTCCTGAGAAAAGGATCCACAACTTTCATCAGATTCTCAAGAAGTCTAGGATGCCCCAAATGACTAAATTATTTCTAGGAATTCTTCTGGATTTGAAGTTCTGGTGGTTTTGGGATTTGATTGCTTATTTCACCTTCCAAGTAGGCATGGTTACCATTAGCCTAGACATTGATCTACCTTCTATTCCTCCCTCCCCTTTAAATATTCTGGCATTTGTGGGGTTTTTTTTGTTTTGTTTTGTTTTGTTTTGTTGGTGAGATCCCATTGAACCTAGTTAAAGAGGGTTTTAA